CAGGGCCTCAATCTCCAATCCATTTTCATCTCATCCAATTTACAAACAGGCTGACAAATTATACCTGATTCCCTAAGTAGGGTTTTCTTATTTTCATGTTCACCTCCCTCTAATTCAGTTATGGTTCAAAGAGTCGGATTTGTTTACTGAAGAAAAGAGACGACTGAGAGGGGACATTGCAACAGCTTTCAAACAGCTAAAAGGGTGTTATAAGGAGGAGGGAGAACATTTTTTTCTCTTTAACCTCTTATGATAGGACAAGAATCAGTGGGCTTAAATTGCAGCAAGGGAGATTTACATTGGAGATTAGGAAAAGCTTCCTATCAAGGTGGTGAAGCATTGGAATATATTTTCTAGGGAAATTGTGGAATCTCCATCACTGGAGATTTTTAAGAGCACGTTAGACAAACGTATGTCAGGGATGATCTAGATCAGGGCTGGGCAAAAGGCTGTCAGTGCACCACAAACAGCCCACCAAGCACTTTGATCCAGCCTGCGGCAGCTCCTGGCTCTGCTGCTAATGCATTGCCTGGGAGGTGTGAGCCCTTTCAATTGCTTTTATTTAAAGGGCTCCTGTCTTCTTTAAATATCAGCAATTGAAAGGTCTTGTGCCAGCCTGGCGGCCCTCAGGCTATCCATTAGTGGCAGAACCCAGGAGGCACAAGCCCTTTCAATTGCTTTTATTTATGGGCTCGCATCTGCTGGGTGGCTGTTACCACCTTGCCTGATGGCCTCCAGGAAGGCATGAGCCCTTTAAATAGAAGCAATTCAAAGGACTTGTGTCTTCCGGGCAGCTGCCAAGCAACGTGGTAGAAGCTGCCTGGCAGGCGCAAACTCTTTTCATTGCTGCTATTAAAGGGCTTGCAACTCCTCGAGCAGGAGCCAGGAGCCCTTTCAATAGCAGCAATTGAAAGGGCTCTCCTGGATCATGGCTGTCTTGTCGCGTCCCCCTCCCCAGCCAGTCATGTCCTGGGGACAGGGGAGTGCACAAAGTCTCCTTGTCCTACCAGGGGCACACGGCACCAGAGGGAATTGCCAGCTGTTCAAAACAGCTGGCAGTTCTCTCTAGGCACTGCATATCCCTGGCAGGGGCTAACACTTCACATGCTTTCCTGCAACTAGGTCAATCAGAGATAGTGGGCAGTGAAGTCTCCTGGCCCTGCCCTTCCGCTGAGGCCCCGCCCCTTCCAGGGTGGCCTGCAACCACTTGAGAAATCATTGAAGGGGCCCCCCTTCAAAAATTATTGCCCACCCCGATCTAGATTTTGCTTGATTTGCCATGAACTCAGAGGACTGGTTTTGATAACCTCTCAAGTTCCCTTCAGTTTTAGCATTCTGTGATTCTATTCAAGGGAATATTCAGGTTGTTTCCAGTGAAAATCAATTCATTTCTCAACAGGAAGGAAGGTTCTTTTACCCAGAACCCTAATGATTTCATATCATAGTTTGAACAATAGAAATTTGACAGATTTAGAAAATTATTGTTTTGTTGAGGTGACACATGTTTTAATTCTAGGAAGCAGTACACTAGAAAAGATAGCTTGAAGTGGGCAAAATGTTATATTGGTGTCCAATGAGGGTGTTATCCCAGTCTTGACTTCTGTTCATTACACTGTAAAACATTTGTTTCATTTAAAAAATATGGGTTTGCCTGTCCACTCACTTAAGGTCTATTTAGCATTGTTAGTAGCTTTTAATATTCATATTGACAGTCAATCTATTTCCTCACACTTCTTAGTCAAAATATTTGTAAAAAGTTTATTGAATTTGTATCCACCAGGATGAAACCCATTTCTCCTTCAAGTGGTTTCCCTGTGGGTGCTCCGCTCAGGTATTAGTGTGCTCTTGTGCTGGCAATTAGAGATGTTTAAACCTAGCAGTGCCTAACCATGCCATGCATGAGCAACAGCCCATCAGCTGCATGGCCATATCCACCTCAGTAATACCAACCTCAGTGACCGCCCTAGGAACTATAGGGCCAATATCACTCTCAACCATCACATCAGCACTGATCCTATTAGTCAGCTGTAGCTACCCAATGAGAACATCAGCAAAGTCTCCACAGACTACTCAATTGTCTCCAACTCATCCTCTACCCTCACCGTCAGCCATGACTCAGATGGTCCTGTAGGGGAAGATGATGACTTACATCAGTCGGATTCAGATAGTAAGTCTCCACTACAGCAGTCCTAGTTGTCCCCCAACAAAGCGATATTTCCATCTTCCTCTTCTCCTCCAACCAAGGATCTGAAATAATTTCAGCAAATATCCAAAAGGGTAGCACAGTCACAAGACATAGCACCCTACAAGAGGTGCAAGAAAAGCAGCACAAGCTGCTAAGAATTCTACAGCTCAGCACATCCTCCAAGACAGCACTACTCATAAATGAAGACATCGGAAACCATATGGCGAACACCAGCCTCTATACTACCCACCAACTGTAGGGCTGATAGAAAATACTTTATCCTAGCTAAGGAGATGAATTTTCTTTTTTCTCACCCCCAGCTAAACACAGTTCAAATCAATGCCCCAGGACAAGGAGCACAAAAGGCTTGACATTTTTCATCAGCTACACTCCTGTTGAGAATTTCGAATTATATGGCCCTCCTGGCTAATTATGATTATACCAGCTACTAAACAGCTGGCCAGAACAAAGGAGGCCTCAGCTACAGTCCATCATGAAAGAGGGCCAATTCTTTGCCCACCTGGCACTCCAAGTGTCAATGGACATAGCAGATACGGCAGCCCAATCAACCACAATGGCAATCGTTATGCATCAGGCTTCTTGGCTGCAGTCATCTGGTGTTCTCAGGGAACTGCAAACCAAAGTGAAGGACTTGCCTTTTGGCAGGGCTCAGCTTTTCGCAGTGAAGACCAATGAAGTACTCCAGTCAATTAAAGATTCACGCATAACCCTTCGGACACTCAGAATGTATAAGCCGCTCAATAAGAGGAGGAGATACACCCCATACCAGAGATCTAGGAATACCTCCTACTAGAGGCAACATCAGAGGCCATTTGACAACAGGTCTAAACAACGGACCAATAGAAGGTCACAACATGCTCAAGCATCCACACCCCAATCTGCTGCACCCAAGCAGCACATTTGAAGGTATGGTCAAGAGCATGAACAACCACCCTCTAGATCCAGTGCATACCATCCACACATTCCACCATCAGTTGAGACCCTTTTACCACCAATAAGCTCTCATCACTATGGAGCCTCAAGATTATAAGGACTGGCTACACCATCCCCTTTATGCCTATGCTCCCTACCCACCTTCCTTCCCCATGCCTCTTAAGGAACCCCTCTCATGAGCCCTTTCTACAAGCAGACACTCAAAAACTATTCCTAGGGTACATAGAGCGAGTTCCACCAGAGTTTCATGGAAGAGGGTTCTATTCCAACTATTTCCTCACTTTCAAAAAGACAGGGGGATGCAGGCCGATCTCAGATCTCAGGAAACTTAACAAGTTCTTACACAACAACAAGTTCAAGATGGTAACTTTGGGAACCATCCTTCTGGCACTGGATATGGGGGACTGGTTCTCATCCCTTGACCTCCAAGATGCATATTTTCATATAACAACACACCCGGCTAAGAGGAAGTTCCTCCAGTTCACGGTGGGCAAAGAACATTACAGGTATCATGTCTTCCCCTTTGGACTGTCGATAGCACCACGCATGTTTTCAAAGACCTTGGTCACAGCCTTCCACAAAGTGGGGAGTTATCATATTCCTGTACCTTGATGATTGCTTGGTCAAGGGGTCTTCTCTACAACACACAATGACCATGACAGATCTTACCTGAGACATTTTTATTCACCTGGGTCTTTTAATAAACAAACAGAAATCTATTCTGGATCCCACCCAGAGAATAGAATTAATTGGAGCAGCACTGGATTCTATGGTGGCCAGAGCATTTCTCCTTCTGAGCCATTTTCAGACCCTGTGTGACGTTGTACAAAATATTCTACAGGCCCCAGTGACAACTGTCTGCACATACCTACAGGCCCTATGGCACATGGCGGCCATGACCTTCTTGATATCCCTCACGAGTCTGCACATGAGATGCCTACACACCTGGTTGGTGTCAATATATATTCCCAACTGACATAGCCTCACCAAACAGATTACCCCCAAAGTTAGTGATGACATTGCTGCAATGGTGGACCTGCCCACTAGCCAACTGTCTTCTGTCCAGAGTGACCTTCCATTGCCCAGACCCCTCCCGGATAATCAGTACAGATGCTTCCTTTCTAGGCTTTGGTGCTCACTGCGGATAGCACACAGTGCAGGGCAGATGGTCATACCAAGACACAAGACTGCACATCAATATTTTGGAATACCAGGTGGTCCACAATGCTTGCCTGCATTTCCTACCACTCATCCAAAGCCATACCATTTGTCTTCTCATGAACAACACTCCATGAATGCATTATATTAACAGATGGGGGTGCTCGATCACGCTCACTATGTGCCGAGGCAATCAGGTTCTAGAACTGGTGCATGAAAAGCAAAATTACACCAACTGCAATGTACATACCAGGTCAACAGAATACTAGAGCAGATGAACTGATCAGAAAATTTCTCAACAGCATAAGTGGGAGTTCAGCCTCAAAATCATCCTATTTTTCAACAGTGGAGGTTTCCAGGCATAGACCTCTTCACCAAAAATGTCCCCACTTCTGCTTCTGAGCAGGCCAGGGCAAATATTCCCCAGGAGATGCTTTTACTATACAATGGAGAGCTCCATTCACCCCAATTCCCCTGATCTCCAGGGTAATCCACAAGATCCAGACAGACTGAGCGAAGATCATCCTAATAGTGCCATATTGGTTGAGACAGCATTAGTTTCCTTATGTCAATTACCAAGCCCATTCCCCTTCCTATCACTTCCCATTGCTAACTCAACCCAATGGACAAACATACCATCTGAACCCTCAGACTCCGTAGCTCACAGCCTGGTTTCTCTGTGGTTCCAGAATGACAAACTTACCTGCTCCCAGAGAGTGAAACAGATCCTCCTCAGCAGTCATCACACTTCTGTGAGGTACACCTATCAAAATAAATGGAAAAGGTTTCAGGAAAGTTGCAGTCAGCGCCATCTATGAGCACATACCTCCTCAATACTTACCATATTCAAATATTTAATGGACCTCAGCAATGCAGGGCTCTTCATCAGCTCCATAAGAGTCCATCTCTCTGCTATCGTGGTCTTCTATGACCTGGTAAATGATGTCTCGGTGTTCGCTCACCTGATCACCATGCGGTTCTTAGCCAGCCTATCAAAAGCATGTCCACACATAAGCCCACTGGTCCTATCATGGGATCTAAACCTTGTGTTGGACTCATTGACAAGACCACCTTTTGAACTTTTAGCGATGGCCTCAATGCAACACATGGCCATGAAGGCATCCTTCATTGTCACTATCATATCTGCACAATAGGTAGGTGAGACTGTAGCCCTCATGTCAAGTCCACCCTATACACTTTTCATCAAGAACAAGATTATCCTCAGACCTCAGTTTTTAGGTAGTTTCTGACTTCCATATCAACAAGCCCATTTACCATCCCAAACCACATGACTCCCCGAGGGAGGTGACATTACACACCCTCAATACAAGAAGGACTAAGTCTTTCAGAAAATCTAATAGACTTTTTATATTCACATCCAGTCCTACTAAGGAAACAGCTGTCTCCACACAACACATATCCAGATGGATATCAAGTTGCATAAATACTTGCTACAGACTTCGAAACAGAGCCACTGCAACTAGTCACTGCCCATTCTACCAAAGTGATGGCTGCATCAATTGCCTTTTTATGCAACGTACCACTAGCCAACATCTGCAGGCCAGCTACATGCTCTTCCTCACATACTTTCACACAACATTATGCACTTCAGCAAGGACCAGTTCTTACCACATCTGTGGGTGACACCATCCTTGCTTCTTCTAGCAGATGACTCCAATGGCCCACCGCCACCACTGTGGCTACTGCTTTTCAGTCACCTGAGTGGAGCGCCTACAGGGACAATACTCAAAGGAGAAGAAGAAGTTGCTCACCTTGTGCAGTAACAATGGTTCTTCGAGATGTGTGCCCCTGTGGGTGCTCCACTACCCTCCCTTCCTCCCCTCTACTCTGGAGTCAATGATAATATTTCTGGTAGAAAAGAAATGGAGGGAGACTTGCACCGCACACACAGCTAACAGACAAAAACAGTGCAAGACAGCTGCTGCACATGTGCAGCACAAGAAAGTACTGATGGGATAAAAATCTCTGTTCACTGGTGCAAGGATTCACCAACACCTGAGTGGAGCACCCTCAGGAACACACATTTCAAAAAAACATTGTTACTGCACAAGGTGAGTAATTTCTTCCTTTAAATTTATGTCACCCCCCCCCCACCTTTGAACTTTTCTTGAGTGTTTCTTTATGCTATCATGTACCGAAAGCATCCGTCTGCTATGTACATTGGACAAACATCTCAGACACTTAGTCAAAGGATCAATGCCCACAAAACAGATATTAGACAGGATCACAAAGAAAAAACAGTTTCCTGCCATTTCAACCAGCAAGGACATTGTCTCAATGACTTGATTGCCTGCATCCTGCTTCAAAGGCCTTTTAAGACTACACTTGAAAGAGAAACCTCTGAACTGTCATTCATGCTTAAATTCGACACTTTACACTTAAGTTTGAATAAAGACTCTAATTATCTTACCCATTAAAAAGATAGCTTCCCCAATTATGACCTCTAATATCATTAGCTCACAGACATTTACCTC